GCCTACAGTTAGCTCTGGGCATGTGTGGGCTACGTGAGTACAGAGCTGAAAGTTTGTTTTTAAGAGGAAGTGGTATAGAATGATGTAAGGCGAGAAAAATATATGGGTGTTTGAGTTCACGTAGGAAAAATTGTTTCAGTAAAAATACAGTACGTCACTTCTAAGTTCACAAAAAGTGCAAAATGAGATGTGGAGGAGCTTTTTAAAATAAATCTTTTTATTGATACTTTGCAGTGACATCACGCTGGGGGTGTTCTACATGTACGTCTATAGTGGAATGTTCAGCAGTTTCCATGATGACACAATACACACATTAGCACACACTGCCAATTTTTTAAGATAATCTGCAAAGTCAAGAAAATATATTTTAATACATTTTGTAACTCTGAGCCTGAGTTCAGTCTGAAAAACTATTGGCTAATGCTGTCTAGCTTGGTTTAACAGCATAAATCATCTCACTTGTTGTAGTTCCAACTAAGACAAGACAGAGCAGTGCCTATAGTTAGCATCACACACCCTGCAAAGTACAAAGCAAAATTATCCAAAACTGTTTGACAGAACTTTTGTTAGTTAAAGGTGCTGATGCACTGTGCAGCTTTTCTGGCACAGGGATGTACCGTATTTTTCAGACTATAAGTTGTACTTTTTTTTCATGGTTTGGGTGTTTCCTGCAACTTCTTCACAGTGAAGCCACGAGAGGCTGTAGTCTTGTGTGTCAGTATCTGCTGCTCCTGTTCCTCCTGTACCACTGTCACTTGGCTCTACTGCGCATGTCTCCTGCAGAAAGAGCCTCTGTTCTGTCTGTATCATGTCAGTCGATTGCACCATTACTTCTGAACCACTGAAAATTTTAAAATTAAACAAACTTATAAAGACGACTGAAAAGACTGAACATAAATGCCCCCAAAGACAAAATCATATTTTGCAGGTTACAAGCTGCAAAATAGCGAAATACTCAGCCGAAAACGGTAATGGAGCAGCAGAAAGAAAGTATCGAGTGAGCGAGAAACTTGTGACACCAGGAGGATGCACCATGATACTTTCCTGGAAGTCACTGGATGGATCGACAAAGCCTGGACTTCACTGACACCGAAACGGAAACAGAAAGGCCAGAATAATAACTGGAACTGATGTTGAGTCTGACGACAGCTACACAGAAGAGGAAGCAGCGCTGTGTTCACCTCCAGAGGTCGTGGAGTTGCTAAAAGTGACACCGAGGATGAAGAATTGAATGGATTTAGTGATTTGGAGTGAGATGGAGAGTTTGTTAAACTTCGTTCTGTTCTGTTGTTTATGTTATAGTTTATCTGAAGAACTGTTCATATGTGACGTTAACAGTTTGTTGTTCTCTGTTATATTTTTATTACTAGAACTTGTCTTTCACGATGAAATGTCACTTCCTGGTCTCTGATTTTAAAATAAATTTCTCCCAAAAAGTGCGACTTATATATATTTTTTTTCTTCTTCATTACGCATTTTTTGGCTGGTGCAACTTATACTCCGACATATACTACAGTCTGAAAAATACGGTATATTGCCCAACTATATAGTTTACATTTTCTAGTAGGAATTGTATTTTTTGGAAAGTAGTTTCCATCAAACTTTTCATCAATAGGCCTTTCACGATAATTACTATATAAACTTCAATATATTATAAATAGGGGTGTCAAATTATCGCGTTAATTGCGATTAATTAATTACAGTCATATTTAGCGCGTTATGTTTTTTAATCGCGTTAATCTCATTTTTAATCTCTAACTTTAGTGTCTCTGTATGCGAGTTGCTTTATTATAAAACCTGTTTTTATGTGTTGTTGGGACAATAACACACACACAAAAACCACATTTATACATTTTTTTATTTCGGTAATTCCTCTCATTGCCGGAAACCCACACAAAACGCGCGCAGTAAGAGCGATGTAAACGTCATGTTAAAGTTGGCGGCGTCAGGCACAGTGGACGAGGTCGAAGAGCCAGTAGAACAGAGCAGCAGTGCACAGGTAAAAACACATTCGTGTCTTGGAAATTATTCTCCCGACGTGAAATATAAAAGAACATAACTAATATAATATCGCCTGAAAACAACCTGCATAGACTCATGATGTCTGCACTACTGTCCTATAGTGACTTGCCACATTTTAATATGGTTAAGGAAAGACTGGACTTTTTATTGTCTTTAAGTAGACAAAAGTTATTATGTTCAGATTTCCTCGTCTTTGCTACTTTACACTTTACTTTTTATTCATGGAGACTTGGGCTCAACAGCCAATTTGGAGAGATTTGTTGAACAATAAATGACTTTATAAAGTCACTTTTTTAAATCTATATCAGTCTTTTGATCTGCCACAATAATGTAATAATGAATTTAAATGAAAATACCTCAAATTGAAGGCTTTTCTCAGCAATTTTTAGGTGAGATTAAAATGAGATTAATTAGATTAATTAATTACATAATTAATTAATCTCTCAATTTTTTTAATCGCATGACAGCACTAATTATAAATGGAACAATCATTTTTGGTGTCAGTATTTATCAGAGGAACTTTTTTTGTATTAGTGGGAATTTTTATTTTTATTTTTTAAACTGTAGAAGTTTGAATTATGAAGTAAAATTACACAAACTAACATTTAACCGTTTAACCGTTTCATACATTTATAATCTTTTCTTATAGTAGTATAGTTCTGCTTTATGGTCTGGTTTCAGCATTATCCTTTATCGTCTATGTTGACTTCAGCGATACATGATGACAGGCCTATCCATCAGCCACTTGTGTCAGAGTGTACGGGGCATTCACAGGAGCACCACAGCCTCTTTATCACTGTCTTTTTAACATGCTCCGTAGACTCTAACTAGGACCATAAATCATCGTCTGTCACAGGTCTCTTATCAAATATGAGTACGTTATTAAGGCTAAGCTAATGAAGAGATAATGGGGAGTTAGGTGCCAGAGCGACGAGAAGGTCTATAGAATGCGACATTAACTTTTTGGATTAGAGGGTCTGTATAATGCGACATTAAGTTTTTGGAGATTTGGACCATGTTATAATATTGTTCTTTTCTTCATCGTAAACGTACCAGAGTTGTGTTTTGTGTCACTGGTTTTGTTTAAATGCACACCCCAAAATCTGATCATCTGATTTGACAAAAAGGACAAACTAATGTGGCAAAGACAGTAAAGAAAGAGAACATTTTAAAGAGGAGGTATTAGACTTCTATGTCGAGTTAAACCTTGTTTCCACTGGTGTAGTACAGGTCTGTACAGACACTGAGTATTTCAACTGCATAAAGCATTCCATATGCCCCATTGTAGGGGTCTCAAGTGGACCACTGGAGGCACCACTGTCCAAGAGGGTCTGGCACAGTTAGGGACCTGGGACCCTCTCGTGGGGGCGGGGCTACACATGCCTTCACACACTTATTAGACGACCAGCAGCATGTCAGTAGCGACATATGTGACAAAACGTAATAGTGTGAACCTTGTAAGGATGGGCGTTTCTTGTGTAAACGATCATCACTAACTTGGCTCCCGCACACTGTGTTCAGCTCTGGACATTGATGAGGTGGACTCTTTCTTGCCCTCCTTGGCGAGGACGAGATGCAGTGAAACTTGAATGGAGCTGCTCCCAATATAGAAATGCTGTCCATGCTTTTGTAACATCGCATCTGGACTATTACAGTTCTTTGTATGCTGGGCTGGACCAGGGCTCCTGCAGCGTTTACAACGTGTCCAGAACATTGCAGCTCCTCTGCTGAAAAATACCAAGAGACAAAAACACATCACACCTGTGCTGTTCTGTGTAACCTGCACTGGCTTCTTGTCTTTTATCATGTACCATTTAAAATGTTATTGATTGTGTTCAGATGTTTACACTCTATGTTCAGTCTCTTTGAGGGAGTTACTGCAGCCCCGTACTCTGCCCACAGCCTGAGATCAGCAGATCAGCTCCTGTTGGTCGTGTCCAAAACTAGGCTCAAGACGACGAGAGGTGACAGAGACTTTTCTGTGGCAGTGCCCAGAAAACTGTGGAACAACCTTCCTCTTCCTGTCAGATCCTCTGTCTGTAACACAGTTTAAGACTCGACTGAAAACTCACCTCTTCTCCCTGGTGTTTAATACGAGCCAGTCAGGTTATCTCAGTGTTTTTATTGTACTTTTGAGATGTATTGTGTTATCTTTATATTTGCATATGTATGTTTTTGTGGATTTTTATGTGAAGCACTTTCGTCAGCTGAAGTTGTTTTAAATGTGCTTCATAAATAAACTTGATTTGAATAAAACTTGAAAATACAGTCTTCAGTCAGCATGGAGTAGTGCAGGGCGACCGGGGTGTGTCTCATAGACCTGAGTGGGCACATTGTCATGGAAACTCAGTGGAAATGAAGCTTAATCATTTACAAATCACATATAACCCTTTTACATTTGTGTTAGTTTGAAAATACTATACTCTGACTACAACGTATTAACATGTTTAATAAGTTTCAGTTTGTTTTTTGGACAGAATCTTACAGTTTACAGTCTTACAGAGGAGAGATCACTTGATTACTCAAACATGCAAGTTTTTGATGAGAAAACAATGTTATAACATGGTAGAAAGCTCCTAAAAGTTGATTTTGCATAATATCCACTTGAAAGAGTTATTTTAATAATCTGTTGTACTTTGTCTTCCAAATACAACAGCTGCATTAAAAATCTCTTCCATGCTCTTACCTGTCAATCATGTTTTTATCTTGGGCCAAAACTCCTCCAGTGTTCACAGAAAGAATTATTTGACAAACACAAATAAGAAAGCACCTTTATTTTGTTGAATTAATGTAAAAACATTTATTTTTACAACAGGTTTTGGCCCAAGACAAAAATTAGAAAATCATAAAAACCTATAATACTCACTTTAACAGGTTGAAAAGCAAAAGTTTGTCGGCTATAACTGTCTGACAGTGATGTACACACTGAAAACACATAAATTCCTGGTTGTATTTTGACATTTCACTTTGTTTTCCAGGGTACCACCACAGCCTGCCGTCCTCCCCGTACTGCTCGGGCTCTGGGGGTCAAAGGTTAACGGCGTCGGGGGCACTGTCCACAGAGTTCCTCCCTCAGACCGTCCCACTGAAGATCCTCCTGCTGGTGTGTAACGCTGCGGGGGCGGGGCAGCAGGTGGTCAGGTGAGAGCAGCAGAGATGTTAAACTTTGTCTGAATTGTTCTACAGTATGTCATGACATTTATCTAAAAAAAAGACAAGCAAGAGGTTTTTTAAGGTTCTTTTGGAGAAATGTATACACTTGTAATTTAACTTCAGGCAATATATAACAAGTTTAATGCAGGGGCGGCACCGGGGGGTCGGGCTTGAGGGGGCCCTAGCCTCCTCTTCAAAGGCCAGTGCTCCCCCGAAGCTCCCCCCAAGATTTTTCATAACACATTCAAGCTCGACTAAAAATATTCAAATGGGAACCATGAGACGAGAATAAAACAATCATTTCATATTAGGTTTTATAAAACACTACAGGGTCTAACTGCATTTAAACTTGTTCAAAACAACAAAGCAAACACAGTACGGGGAGGGGGTGCACAATCCCCGTATCATTCATTCATTCGTTTTTCAATATAAAACCAAAAATAAGAAAATGAAAAAATGACTGTTGAAAAAATGAAAAAACGGATAATGATTAGTTTTTTCAGTTTTCGATTTTGTGTTTAAACAAAAAATGGAAAAAACGTATAACGGCCGTTTCCCGTTTATGTGACTTCAGTGACTGCGATGCCGGACTTTTGCACTGCGTACGGACTGAACCAGGACTGATCCAGGTCCGAGACCAGACCGGGACGAGAGCGGGACTAAGACCGGGACCAGAGTGGGACTGAGACGGAGACCAGACCGAGACCAGACCGAGACCAGTCTGAGACTGAGATCAGAACTGAGAATGGGACCAGACCAAGACTGAGACCAGACCGGGACCAGAGCGGGACTGAGACCGAGACCAGACCAGGACTAGGCCAGGACCAGACCGGGACTGAGACCAGACCAGGACTGAGACCGAGACCAGGCCGGGACCAGGCCGGGATCAGACCGGGGCCAGACCGGGACCAGACCGGGATCAGACCGGGGCCAGACCGAGACTGAGACAGAGATCAGGCCGGGACCAGACCGGAGGCTCAGAGCCCACAGCAGGGCCAGAGCTCGAAGCTGAGGCTCGGACCCCGCGGAGGCTCGGAGTCAAAGCTCGGAGTCCGCTCTGGTCCTGCTCTGGTCCCGCTCTGGTCCCGCTCTGGTCCCGGTCTCGTCCCGGACCTGGATCAGTCCTGGTTCAGTCCGTATGCAGTGCAAAATCCGGCATCGCAGTCATGGAAGTCACGTAAACTGGAAACGGCCGTTATCCATTTTTTTCCATTCTTCATTTAAACACTATACTATATACTTACCAGTCTTACCAGCTCATAATAACAATGCTTTTTACTGCTTTTTATAAAGAAATTCAATTACTATTATTCGAATTTACTTAAGCATTTTGGACCAGCGTCACGGGTAAACCGAGCGCCGCTTCCTCTTCTGTGTCGCTGTCGTCAGACTCAGCATCAGTTCCAGTTAGAATCCAGCCTTTCTGAATCCCGACAGGATGGTTTCGGTGTCACTGAAGTCACTTAAATTTTAAAACTTCAGTGGTTCAGAAGTAATGGTGCGATCGACTGACATGATACAGACAGGACAGAGGCTCTTTCTGCAGGAGACATGCGCAGTAGAGTAACGTGACAGTGGTACAGGAGTAATAGGAGCAGCAGATACTGACACACAAGACTACAGCGCCCTCTCGTGGCTGTCAGTGTGAAATGTTTAATATATAAGTCGCACCGGAGTATAAGTCACAGTAAACACCCAAACCATGAAAAAAACTACAACTTATAGTCCGAAAAATACGCTAACCTGCAGATTGAGACACATCAAAGTTTGTCTCATTCTCAGTTTATCGACAGGCCTCATGTGAAAAGCTCAGAACCTCCAGAATTCCCTCCTTGAGCTGCAGAGGCTGCACTAGCACTGACTCATGACTGACTGCAGGTTCTGGGCTTTAGTTAGTGACGATTTATATAAGAGAGTCTAATTTTAGATTTAAAGTAACTGGATTTCAGCAAACGAGAGACTCATGTGTGGCTCATTCTGCTTTCTGATTGTATAATCGTCATGACAACCAAAACACCAACTGATTACATAAACAACTTGGCCGTCACGTTTTTTGTAATTAAGAATAAATCAGCATTACAATTGTTATCAGTGAATTTATCATAGCACCTGTATAATTACCCATTTAATAAATCAACTGTACAAAATCCAGCAGACCCTGAATGCATCTCGCTCATTATTATTCCAGTGTTCACATTACTTTGCACCTTATCTTTCATAAATAAAAAAACATGCAATTACAACTTCAATTAAACCTATATTATTACACGGAGGTCCTGCATTGTCCCATTGTCCTCTGGTGTCATTTTAATTCCACTGTTACTGTATTCTCCTCGTAAAGAGCGGTGTTGGATAATGGTCTGGGGTCGGTGCATGTGTAAAAGGAGGATATGAGTCTGATCTGAACTGTTTTTTCATTTCCTGTCTCTGTGTCTCGAAGGTTTGGACCTCCGTTCCTGATGAGGGAGGATCGGTCTATTTCCTGGGACCAGCTGCAGCAGAGCATCCTCAGCAAGCTCTACTACCTGATGGTGAACGGAGCCCAGGCCCAGGTACAGTGTGGGTTTGATCTCGCAGTGATCGCAGTTCTGTACAGTCGTTTACGGTAGGGAGGCTGCAAGAACTGTACAAAGACGAGGGGATCTGGAGCCGTATCCTGTCTCTCTGATTTTTTAAAAGGGTAAAAGAAGTTCTGAAGGTTACGAGAACTTTCAAGAGGAGATGTCTTCTGTCTTCTTCATGATGCAAATGAGCACCTGTGGTTGGATCATCTCAAATTTCCCACACTGTATGTCAGTGTTTCCCAAATTTATTTTCGGGGGACCCATATTTTAAAAGTCATAAATCTTCACGACCCAAGTCATTAGACATTATTCGTAAATCACAAAATAAAGGTGGATTTGACCATTATTGAACATTAATGAAAAAAAAAAAAAAAGAAGCTAATTGAAGCTTCAAATATTTCTTTAATTAATCATTCGCTACTGTTCAACAAATGCAGACGGATGGATCCGCACCTTTGTGGGCTCTGAGCCTCGCTCCAAGCTCCAGCCCGACCACGGGCTCCGAGCTCCGGCCGCGGGCTGCGGGCTCCGAGCTTCGGTTCCTGGGTCATTCTTTCTTCTCCTTCTTTCTCGAGGCGTCCAAATAGAGAGGCATGTTTTTTGACGCTGCGGTCTCACTTATATTTGCTCTCACAGGGTATTCACGAAGGCCCGGAAGATATCACGATATGATCCCGCCTATAACTCAATATAATTGGCTAAGACAGCTGTCAATCTCAAATTCATCCCCACATTGACTTGTATTGCACGGGCCTTCGCTACAGCCACCGAAGGTGCTCCAGATGTTTCTTAAGTTCAGTGCCTGCAAGGGGAGTCACTGATTTACCCAGATACAATTATAAGAAAAGATGTGATTGGTCCATTGTGATCCCCTTTGTTTCCCAAGAAATAGTAGTCCAAGTTTTTAACAATGATCTAGAAATTATTACTAGTGTTGTGTTTATTACTCACTGAAAAAAAAATACTGAAAAAATATATTAGTATTACAAAAATTCTTTCAATATTTTTTCTTGGACCTTCACTGAAGACCTTGAAGGCCCTGAGGTTTCCCCTCTGTTGTATATGTATATTGCAGACTTACATGCAAATCATGACAAGGGAACCCCAAAAAATCTCTTACGACCCACCTGAGGGTCGCAACCCAGTCTCTGGGAAACAATGATCTATGGTCCAGCTCCAGAACCTTCTAGCTTCGAACAGAATGTAGAGTGGCTGGCTGGTCATGCACAATCCAGCTTTTTCTGTTCAAAACTGGATGACGATACTGTGAATGTTATTAGGTTATTTTTTTAAGACCAAGAGTTTGTTTTCATACATAACAGTTTCGACTGCTCATTAGTGGTCTTCCTCAGAGTCATGCGAAGTTGCTGTGACGTGTCCGCTCAGCTGATTTACACAGTTTTGGCGCTGTCTTCCTACCAACTTCCTCAGGACAGTATCCCAGGTGTGTGAGATAGTGGTTATGGTTTATATGTTGTAAAGTTGAGTTTATTTATGCATTCGTAATAATTTTAATATAAAAACATTAATCGAGAAAGAAATTTTAATCGAATGCCCATCCCTAGACACTTCTACATTATTTTCCACACAATATTGAATCTAATGTTGTTATATATGTATACAAATGTGTAAGTTTAATAGAAGCAAATGCAGCGAGTCTAAATCATATGGTAATTTATGCTGTTCCACCACACAGCCTATCCACACTCTCTTATAACGGGACAACGCTCTTTCTGCCTTTTACCCTGCGCTCTATGGGGTCACCACCAGGGGGCAGCCAACATACAGGTGTACTATTGGAAACCCAGCTGGACATGAGATCCGGTGTGCGCCCCCTGCTGTTCGCCTTTGTATTAGACCCCCGCTGGTCGTGGATAATGACTGTTCACTCGCAGCAAACAGCCCCACTGACAGCACGGCGTCGCCTCTGACACAATGTTCACGAGCGGGTCCTCTTTTCAGGCTAATTTTAGAAAAGAGGAGAAAACCAAATGTGTGACAGCTCGGGTACCATCCTCTGACGCGGCGTGACATCTTAATCTGAGCGCTTCAAAGGATCGCTAATGTAGGCCTACTGCTGGGGAAGCTCAGTATTAACCTATGCCCCAGAGAGATTACAGACTGGTCTCTTCAAATGCACTTGGATTTTCATAAAAGTATTTCTGTGGGTAACCTGAAGTCTTTCTTCTTTTTTTTTTTTTTTTTTCCGGCATAAAACTAGGTACTAAACTAGAGAGGATTCAGATCAGAGGAAGTCAAGGTTTACACTGGATTTAGAAACTGAAACTGGCAACCAAAATAGGCTCATTCTGCTTTCGGATTGGATAAATAAAACCAAAACACCACATATAAAAACCAAAACACCACAGTATAACAAAGCTCAGAATAGGGGTGGGTGATATCTTGAGATTTTAAACATATCGAGATATTTTTTTAAACTGTTCTGACATATAGTATATATCGATAAAATGCTTATATTTAATCCTGATTGGAGCAAGAAGTGAGCAGTTTTTTTCAGCACTTATAGTTTATGGAAATGAGCCATGTGGTTTTAAGTTTCATTTCTGTAAAACGTAAACAAATGTACGCAAAGCTGCATTAAACACATTATAATCTCAAACGGACTGATGTGGCGTTATAGTAGTTATGGTTTATTTTCTGGACTATAAGTCACACTTTTTGGGGAAATGTATTTTATAAAATCAGAGACCAGGAACCAACATTTCATCTTGAAAGTCAAGTTCTAGTAATAACAACAACGTCACATATGAACAGTTCTTCAGATAAACAACAGAACAGAACAAGTTTAACAAACTCTCCATCTCACTCCAAATCACTAAATCCATTCAGTTCTTCTTCAGTGTCACTTCTGAGGAACTCCGCGACCTCCAGAGGTAAACAGAGCGTCGCTTCCTCTTCTGTGTAGTTGTTGTCAGACTCAGCATCAGTTCCAGTTAGAATTATTCCGGCCTTTCTGAATCCCGACAGGATGGTTTCGGTGTCACTGAAGTCCAGGCTTTGTCGATCCATCCAGTGACTTCAGGAAAGTTCCCAGTTACCGTGAAGCTGTGTTCTCCATCCCCACTTTCCTCTAGTCCCTCACAAGTTTCTCTCTCATTTCAAACTTTCTTTCTGCTGCTCGATTACTGTTTTTGGCTATTTTTATTAATAATCCGCTGCCATGTAGAACTTGTACAGTAGTAAGTGGAGAACCGTTTGGTTTGCACAGTGGATTGTGGGATACCTCACCTCCTTACCACTGGTGAGGAACATGGATCTATTAAAATAATGAACCTCCCTGAGCTTCCTCAGCTGAAGGAGCTCATGGCTCTGGTTATCGTACGGTTAAGCAAAGACGAGCTGAGTTGTTTTATTTTCAAATGAAAATAAGGCAATATGTATTATTTCTACCTTTATGTTACAGTTAAATTATTATTATTGTCTACAGGGATTTGTGAATTTGGCATATTTGTTTTTGCAGTAGTTTGAGGGGATTATTTTTCCTGTACAGTATATCGTATATCGAGATATAGCAAAATATATCGTGATATATTTTTTCCTCCATATCGCCCAGCCCTAGCACAGAACCTCCAGAATACAGATCAGAGAGAGATATTTTAAGTTCATCTGTCCACAAACTGACACAGAGACAGACTTGGATGTGTCTCTATCTGCAGGTTAAAGCTGTGGTCACTCAGGTTCAGTTGTGTACTACTTTTTTAAAACATACATACAGCTACATACAGTTCCTTTATTTATTTATTTATTTATTTTTTCTTCCACAATTACAATTCCCAAAATCCCACAGCAGGACTTCACTCAGTAGTCAGGCTCTGACAGGCAGCTGCAGGAATCACCCGGCCAGTCCACACTCGCCTGTCATTCTCACTCTCCCTGGTGATAACTGCATACATCCAGTACATCCAGTAATCTGTGATGTGTTAAAGTCGACCGTACAGGCCCAGAGTGTCAAATACAGGAGAAAATGATCTGTCAAAGAGTACGGTGGCCCTGAAGGTCAAATATGTACAACATGTGATGACAAACAGACCTGGACAAAAGATGTAATGTCCTGTCTTGTGGGTGCAGATTTGACTTGTGGGTGCAAACTTGTCTCCCTCACTTGGTCGCTCACTATATTAAAATTAAATCAACTGTGGTAATTTGTACTCAAGTAGTCGAAGTATTGTGTTTAACGAGTAAGTTCTACTACATAAATAATCATAATGTTTTATAGGTTTCACAGTCGCTCTTCACAAACCCAGAAATACTAAGTAATACCAAAGTCCTTCTAGATAAAGAAAAGCTGCTTTTCATTTGTCCACTGTTCTGAAGGTTGGCGGTTTGAATAAAACATCACTGTCTCGACATAAAACATCACTGTGATCATTTACCATTTTATTATACATCAGTAAATACTAGACATTAGGGTGAATCATTTGCCCCAGTGTCAGAAATTCAACTTGTACCAATTTAAAAATGTGACAGTAACAATTAAAAGAACATCTGTGGAATATTAACTCAACTGAATAACATCTACTGGGTCCACCAAGCCGTGTCCTTAAGGCTCTTGCAGAAAACATCACTTTTTCTCAAATAACTTTAAAAATGATGCATTTAGGGCCATGGTGTCAATGAAAGTTGAATATAAATGTTGCTATTTTATGTCTCTATCTTCATAACTTTCTATATGACAATTTTGTCAAGATTTTGAGTGTTTTTTTTTCATAATTATCCAATATCCACAAATGCCATAGATGAAATGAGAGACATAAAGTTTGTTCTTTTTGTGGTGATCATAGATCGAGTAAAACAAAAAGGGGAGTAAGTGAGTGTGACGTCACTCAGAGCATCTCAATGACAGGTACGGCTCAGGGTTTGGTAAACCCAAGTTTCCAGAAAGGATAAAGATGTTATTAAAGAAAAACACTTTTTTCAGCTCAGATTTAAAGCTTCTACAGTCACTAAACTTCAGAGGCTTGGTGGTC